GATGGTTAGCAAACACCTGAGTTAGCTTTGTTCTGCTCTTTCTGCTGATTCTTCTTTTCTTGTTCATTTTCTTTTTCCCTTTCCTCACATCTTTTGTTTTTCTCATTTTTATGATTTTTTGCCATTTTTTATTTCTTTGTTTTTGATTATTTTTGTTACTGAATTAAGAATTTGTTTATCGCAAGTAATATCGTCATTGCAGTATTAATCACTGTTATCGCATAGCGCAGGTTTTCCTAATATAGTGCAGCTCTAGTAGAGTCTTTAGAAATGGTCCCAGAGTAACTCCCAAAAATTCAGTGGTGGTTGAAAAATATGACTAAAAACATGAGTTAAGCCACAGGAAGAAGTGTTACATCCATCACATAGGTTGAGGATGCAGGAGGACATTTCGTCTCAGTTAAAGCCGGGCGGACACTGTACGACTTTTTCACTTTTTGAGCTGATTTTCCCCCCGTGTGAGAGTCTACGAGTTGTGAGCTGAGCGTCGTGTAGTATACAGGCGGTTACGAGAGGCGATTAACACCACGTAACCAGCTCCAGATCAGCAATCGTAAGCTCGCATGGATTTATCCCGTGCTTGATTTTTGCTCGTCCCTCGTGAGTGCATCGCACTGTTGAAGCGGCACTGCGAGCGACTGCGACCCACAAAGTACCAGAACCGCTCATGGCACATGCACAAAAAATAAGTCAACTCGGCTTGCCAGTATTTCCTTACTAACACATGTCGTTAGTTTTTATTTATACACTTTTTTTCTGCACACATTGACAAGAAAGCGTGTTTGTTGTGTTTATGTCAAATTAAACTGCTAAAACATTGATTTTCTTCCTTTCGTCTTCCTCCTCCAATCCCCATTAATCCCTGTGTGTCATCCTACAGCACTCCCAAAGGACAGCAGACATCAACAGCACAATAAAAACTCCAACATGTGTAAAAACTGCTACTTTTAGCGTTTATGTGGGTCCGATGTGTTGCTACCTGAAGTGCAGTGTGAGCAGTCTAGCCTGGCAAGCCAGACTAAATAAATGTATTATTTAGTCTGGCAACGATCCATTGACAGCTCTCGGTTGTGGGGCGGGCTCTACCGTTGTCTTTCAAATGATCTCCGCATGCTACTGGACAATGAATGTGGCATACTCTTGTTTCACTCTGTTGCATCATCCCACCCACCAGGCATATAGAGTGCCCTGATTGGCCCACAAAGCGGATAAAGCTCTGTGATTTGTTCACTAAGCAGATAGAGCACTATGATTGGCCCACCATTATGGACCAATCACAGCTCTTTATGTGTTTGAAACCCCTCTAGAGAGCTGTGATTGGCTAGCCAGAGTCCTGGTAGGAGCTGCGGACGTTCCAATGGAGCGTGCCTAGACCAAACTTTGTAAAGCAAGAATTTGGTCTAGTTCACTAGGCTAGGATCAGTCAGGTTCCATCCGAAAACTGGGTCGTACAGTGTGAGCACGACTCGTGAGATTTACTCTGCGAGGAAGTCTTACAGTTTGAGCTGAGTGCTACGAGTGGAAAATGTCACACAGTGTCCACCTGGCTCAAGAATGGTCACAACTGATTGGATTTAAAAATTAGAGCGATGTGATTGGCAGAACACAAGACCTTTCGGGCCTGCTGAGGCTCCAGTGGAGCGTGGATAGACCGACTTGCTTCTGCGATGGTCTGGCTAGATTTCTAGGCTAGGATTGGATGACAAGACTTGGCCCTGGTAGGAGCTGAGAGTTGTCTCTAGCACATATACCGAGCTAACTGGGCAGAGGGAAAGGTTTGCCATTAAGCCAACCATTTGTCATTAAATGAAATGTTTTATGTAAGATTTTTTACAGTGAAATAATCACAAAACAGGTTAATGTTTCAATCATGTTGGAAGGAAGTTAATATTGTAACAGATTTCCTTCTCAGCCTGGGTGTTTGTCAGCTTTTCTTCCTTCTAAATGACCAAAGAGGGGCGTGGTTTTTGTCTACACTCGTGAGCCTTTGGGGTTGCTGAGTCTGCGCCAGAAAAAAGCTAACTGCTAGCCTTCGTATTAGCTACCAGGACAGAAAATAGCTAACTGCTAGCCTTCGTATTAGCTACCAGGACAGAAAATAGCTAACTGCTAGCCTTCGTATTAGCTACCAGGACAGAAAATAGCTAACTGCTAGCCTTCGTATTAGCTACCAGGACAGAAAATAGCTAACAGCCACTAAGCAGGTAATGAGCGCTCCAACCTGCTCTACAAAACTGTTAAAGAGCAAGTCACTCCCAAATCAACATTTTTTTCTGATAAACTATATAAATGTGTGTCTAATCGTGCTGCAGACACGTGTCGTCAATAGTTTAACATTTTAGTGCATTTTAGTTAAAATTTTAATTTTCTGCCTAAAACTGTCAGTGTTGTGCCGTTGTCAGGTAAAAACTCTGCACTGTATTTGAATTTAAATCTGACATCGCTATTGGCTAAGAGGTACCCTAGAACGTTAGCTGGTACCATATGATGTCACAATGTGTCGTTGTGAGCCTGTGTGTGTGTGTGTGTGTGTGTGTGTGTGTGTGTGTGTGTGTGTGTGTGTGTGTGTGTGTGTGTGTCTTTGTTAGCAGCTCCGCCCTCTCTGTCTGCTAGGCAACAGCTTTTGTTGCATATTTCAAACAGGAAGTGGGAGTAATACTCTGGTGGGGGGGGTGACTTGCTCTTTAAGTGCTGTTTCTGGTCAGCAGCGTTCTGTTCCAGATGAAGTTGGTAAAGTTTCTACCTACATAATCACTGAACCCCATTTTTAAAAGAATTGGTTCAAAACTGCTTGTTCCTCTAAGAGAAGGAACTCTTACTTGGTGATTATTTTTAGCTTTAGTCTGATAACAAAACCTGACAGTGAGTTGGTGACTTACACAGTAGTAAGGTTCACTTCCAGCTGTAGCAGGATCTACTTTTGTTTTATTAGTGATGGAGTTTAGCATTGAGGAGTATTGTAGTTACATTGTTCTGATGAGTTTTAAAACGGTTAAAGTCGACATGAAGTCATTATTGTGATTTCATTCAGAGAAAAGGATCATAATGCATTCTCTTTGTTGTCTTCCTAATCCATGTGATCATTCATTTTTTGGTTTCTGCACAATAAAAGGAAGAAGATAGAATTAAGTCTGTTTTTGTAGAGTTGAGCTAACCGTGCTGATTTACCCACGATGCTGCGCTCTAAATCATTCTACAACAGTTGTCATTTGGTGTCGAAACCCGTTGTCTAAATGAACGCTAGTCTGCCCTTTATTGGGTAGTTAACCACGTTGTTTATGACTTTGATTCACAGCTTGTTGTTGTTGTTGTTGTAATGGCAGTCTGACTGATTTACTGCTCTCTAGTCATGCCAGATGACTGTGTGTGTGTGTGTGTGTGTGTGTGTGTGTGTGTGTGTGTGTGTGTGTGTGTGTGTGTGTGTGTGTGCACGCAGAGTTGTGCGCATAGCTATCCTAGCGTGTGTGTGTGTTTGTGTGTGTGTGTGCACGCAGAGTTGTGCGCATAGCTATCCTAGCGTGTGTGTGTGTGTTTGTGTGTGCAGAGTTGTGCGCATAGCTATCCTAGCGTGTGTGTGTGTGTGTGTGTGTGTGTGTGTGTGTGTGTGTGTGTGTGTGTGTGCAGAGTTGTGCGCATAGCTATCCTAGCGTGTGTGTGTGTGAGCAGAGTTGTGCGCATAGCTATCCTAGCGTGTGTGTGTGTGTGTGTGTGTGTGTGTGTGTGTGTGTGTGTGTGTGTGTGTGTGTGTGTGTGTGTGTGTGTGTGTGTGTGTGTGCAGAGTTGTGCGCATAGCTATCCTAGCGTGTGTGTGTGTGTGTGTGTGTGTGTGTGTGTGTGTGTGTGTGTGTGAGCAGAGTTGTGCGCATAGCTATCCTAGCGTGCGTGTGTGTGTGTGTGTGTGTGTGTGTGTGTGTGTGTGTGTGTGCAGAGTTGTGCGCATAGCTATCCTAGCGTGTGTGTGTGTGTGTGTGTGTGTGTGTGTGTGCAGAGTTGTGCGCATAGCTATCCTAGCGTGTGTGTGTGTGTGTGTGTGTGTGCAGAGTTGTGCGCATAGCTATCCTAGCGTGTGTGTGTGTGTGTGTGTGTGCAGAGTTGTGCGCATAGCTATCCTAGCGTGTGTGTGTGTGTGTGTGTGTGTGTGTGTGTGCAGAGTTGTGCGCATAGCTATCCTAGCGTGTGTGTGTGTGTGTGTGTGTGTGTGTGTGCAGAGTTGTGCGCATAGCTATCCTAGCGTGTGTGTGTGTGTGTGTGTGTGCAGAGTTGTGCGCATAGCTATCCTAGCGAGGCATAAAAAGAGAACCGAGGATCTGTTTGCCTGCTGGTGCTGCTTACATGATCACTCAGAGACGTGGGTCTGTCTGCAGCCTGCAGGTCGTCTGAGCAGCAGGAAGACTAGAAGACAGCGAGTCAGCTCGTTGGTACACTGATCCTAACGAGTGGGCTCATCAGTGTTTCACTGTGCTGCACAGTGAGGAGACTGCAAAACATGAAGATGTGCAAATGAGATGTTTTCTGTCTGAAGAGGCCGCAAAAGGAGGAGAGATTTGGTTTGCAGGAATTGGCTGAAAGAGACTCACACTCGTTGTTTATCTTAATCCGAGTAGACGGTTTGGGTTTGATCGTTGTTTCATGTCTTTGAATTGAGCCCTTTCCTTGTCTAGGGCACTTAATCAAATGTCAACATCCTCGGCAGTGTGTTTGGATACAGGGAGCGGTCCTACAACGAGGAGCAGGCCTGGATGATTTGGAGGTGTTGATGACATGTGGATGATGACATGTGTTGTGTGTTAGTCAGCATTACGTGTCACTTTAAAGAGAAGAAATGTGAATATTTTTAGTCTGACCAAACTGCAGACTGCACGTTTGACCTTATAACTTATTTCTTGTGGTGGTTGTATTGCGCTTGATGTGTGACTGTGTAGTGTTCATGAGCATCCATTCACTCGATTCTCCTTTCACGTCATTCAGTGTGCTGATCAAATTTTCCTTTCCTCCCACAGTCAGGAGGAGGAGTTGTCTTCATCCTCCAGTGAAGAGGAGGAGAGCGATCAGCGGCTGAACGAAGATCTGTTCGGCAAGGTGGTCTGCGTGGAGGGGGTTGCCACCAGCGACAGAAAGAAGACGACATGGTACCCTGCTCTGGTGAGTTTTTTTTTTTTGTTTTTGCTGCAGAAACCAGAGGCCGCTGCTGCTGCTGCTGATCTCACTACAGTCACAGCGTTGTGCCATTTCATCAAAATGCCTGCTTATGTAACCTCAGCACTCAGCAGGATTATGTGATTGCTTCCACCAGCCATGAAATGTTGCAACATGCATGTTGCAGTAAACCAGCTTATTCCTGCTCTAGCGCTTCGCCTCTGCAGGCCGAATGTCTCACAGAGAAACTTGACTCGGTGTGTTACTGAGCTTCCCAGCTCGGCGCCTAAATCCCGTCAGCGTTAGCGCATGCTGACGAGCCTTTGTTGTTGGTGAAAGAGTTACAAGTGGAGCTGGGAGAATGGGAGAGGGTGGAGAAAGCTGTCCTTTTAAATGTACCCAGCAGAGCTCCGCCTCCTGCATTTGTTGTTCTTAGCTTGCTTGTTTGCTGAGCTCGCTGCTGCCTCCCTGTGGCGGTCCGGGGAAGGCTGCTCCACAGTAGCGTTTCATTGTTTACACGGTTCCCTTATGGCAGATGGGTGGAGTGATACGCTGGTACATGTCTCATGCAACAGATGATAGAAAGCTGCAACAGCATGCTTTTGGGTGGAGTGTGGCAGTGTGAGCAGCAAAATGAAACTTGCTAACGTGTGAGCCCTGGAGCAGTCAGGCCGAGCTCTGATGGACATCAGAATACCCCCTTTGAGCTTTTGACTTTTTGTTTGTTGTGCATTAAGGTCATCTCCCCAGACTGCCACGAAGACGTGACTGTGAAGAAGGACAACATCTTCGTCCGCTCCTTCAAAGATGGAAAATTGTAAGTCTAGAAGAAATGTTCGTATTGCTGCTGATCTGTTTGTGGCTTGTTCTCGTGTTGCTGGTTTACTTACCTGGTTCTGTTACTGCAGCTACTTGTGCAGGAAATCTGATCCGGAGCAGGTCTGGTTTCCAGGTCATGAATAACAACACGGAACAAACACTGACTTCTGTTTTTAAAGATGGGACTTTCCTTCCGTCTCTGAGTCAAGCTGTCGAGCAGCGTCTTTATGAGAGACATCTGACGTTTTTGGGCTGTGGAGCAGAAAAAGTTTGATCTTGTTTATTAAATAATAAAATAGTTTGAATGTTAATTCAGCAAAATATTTGGATGAGTAATCATTCAAAAATAATGTTGTTTTTAAGCTAATGAGGTCCTAATGGTCCCTAAAAGATGGCTGAAATATAAAAACCCCAAACGAAGCGTAGAACTCAGCAGGCTAAGACCTTCCTGTCCAGATAAAAGCAGCAGCTGCAGCATTTTATCAGATCAAAACATCATGGATATTATTAGAGCTGCTCATAATGTCTGTGAGCTTTTTAACCCTTTAGTGTGCACACATCAGCATCATTAGGGTTTTAGTTTGCTATCAGTAAGTCGTTTAGTTCACAGTAAAACAAACAAAGAGCTCATCTTATCATTTAGGAGTGAAGTAAAGCTCCACTCTCAGATGTATTTGATTCATTCTGAAGTCTTAGGCATAAAACGAGCTGCTGGGGTCGGAGGAGATCGCTCTGACCTGTCAGCCTGAGGAAGAACACACAAGAATGTCTTGGATGATTTTGGACATCTTAATATTTTGGAGGATTTTTGAATTGCCTGTATTATTCTCTGTTCTGAGTACAGAGTAGGGCTGGGCGATATAGAACAATAGTATATCAATAAAAAGTCTTTTTATAATGATCGATATCGATAATTATTGAAAAATATTTTTAAAATGTAGAAAATGTGTTTTATTTTTAGCCCTGGCCATTTTATTTTTGGTATTTTTATTTTTTCTCGCTGAGACATCCACTGAGATCACCTGCTTGATCTGAAGGTAAAGATGTAGTTGAAGAAGAAGAAAACATCATTTCTATAGCGCCTCTCAAGATAAAAATCACGAGGCGCTTCACAAAAATAAAAAAATGTAAAAATATTAAAAAGCACTTAGAAAATGTTTTAAAATATATTTAAAATTAGCAAGAATAAGCAATTGTGATTTAAAAGAAAAAATGTTAAGAAAGAAAGAGAGAGAGTGAACAGGAAAGAGGGAAACCAGTGGATCCTGAGGAAGGTGGAATAGGTGGGGAGAGCAGAATAAAGAGAGAGAGGTGAAGAAGGTCATACAAAAGCCAGCTTGAACAAGTGAGTCTTCAGCTGCTTTTTAAAGGAGACCACTGAGTCCACTGATCTCAGGCTCAGGGGGAGAGAGGTCCAGAGTCTGGGGGCCACAGCAGCAGATGATCTGTCACCTTTGACCTTTAGCCTGGTGCTGCACAACCAGTAGGCTTTGATCACTGGACCTCAGGGACCTGCTGGGGGTGTAGGGACTAAGAAGCTCACCAATGTAAGATGGTGCTTGTCCATGTAAGGCCCTAAAGACCAGAACCAGGATCTTGAAATGAACCCTGAAGTTGACTGGCAGCCAGTGAAGCTGGAGGAGAAGCGGGGTGATGTGGGTGTGTTTGGAGGACTTGGTCAGAAGCCGAGCACAGGCGTTCTGAACCACCTGTAGACGGTTCAGGGAGGTTCTGCTCAGACACGTGAAAAGAGAGTTACAGTAGTCTAAGCGTGAGGAGATGAAGGTGTGGAGAACTGTCTCAAGTTCAGAGCGGGACAGAACGGGACTCAGCTTAGCAACGTTCCTGAGATGGAAGAAGGAAGAGCCAACAAGAGAACTGACATGAGAATCCAGGGTGAGAGCTGGGTCAAAGGTCACGCCAAGATTCCTGACAGAAGGTTTGGTGTGGGAAGCAAGCTGACCAAGAGAGTCTCTGACTTTGGGAACCAGCTTGTCTGGGGCACAGATGAGGATCTCAGTTGCTCCCACTGTGACTGATAGTCAAATGAAGGGTGGAGCGACTGGATTAAACCGGACAGGAGATGAATCTGAAGCCTCGCGATGAGACTTTTTAACAGCTTCCGTGTTTTTAATCCAACAAGCTGTGATATTCACCAGCAACTTCTGATTCAGTGTAATGTACTGCCAGTCAGCTAGCCAGCCACTCAGGTTTATTCTCAAACATCTCTGTGGTTCTCACGGGACATTTTGCTCAGACGGCGACGGTCGCTAAGGGGATGATTCTTGCTGATTTAACTTGCGTAGATTTTTCATCTCGCCGCTCTAAGAGGCTGATATTAGAGGTTTCTGGGTTAAACACCTGGTCACCTTTTCAGCAGTTTTGTAGTGAATTATTTTGCTACGTACACCATGTGATGAAGGCAAGTGGATTTAGGAGGTTAATGGTTGCTGCTGAGCACCTTTATAAAAGCTGGAGCTTGCAGGTGGGGTAGGGGTTAGATCTGGATCTCGTTTTTCTTCAAACATTATTCAAACATTTAGATTCATTAGATAGATTAGATAGTTGGAGGTGAGAGCGTGTGATCCGCAGATAAAAAACGCCAAGAGCTCCATCGTAGACTCTGCTGGCCTCAGTTAGCCGGTTGAAGGTGAAAGTTCATGTCCTTGTTTGGAAGGGAAGAACATAGCACGAACCACAAAACATCTGCAGAGCCGTATACCCATAATGCACCAGGGTTCCCCCCTGCACTTTATAAACCCAGCGGGCTGCTACGGACAGTAGCAGAACGATCCATGCACCCCCACCCCAATGGTCTGCCGGGCTCAGCAAGTCTTCTGGAGAACCCCGATGCACCGCATCAAGAACCAAATGGCCTATTGGAACAGAGCTGCTACCAGCTATCAGCATGGTGGTGGAGGGCTGATGGTTTGGGCTCCTTGTGGTCATCAAGTCCACCATGAACTCCTCCTCTTCTAGAGTCTGTGAGTCCATCTGTCTGTGAGCTGGTTGAACCAAACTGGGTGAGAAGAGACACAGATGCTCTTAAATGACTGGAGGTGTTGAAGGGGTCCAAATCTCCAGACCTGAAACTGGTGGGAATGTTCTGGTGGGATCTTTAGAGAGCTGAAAGGAAATGAGGCAGAATTCCTCCCCAGATTTGTGTTTTCGCTCCTAAATAACTTAGTTTTTGTTTGTTTCACAACAACATGAATCATTTATGGCCTGACAAAGACCTGATCTGAAGGAGGGTGAACTTCCTGGTTTTATGGCTGCATGTTCTGCTTCAGAACTTCCCTCCATGTCTGTTTGGCCGCCTCCAGATCCGACAGTAAACACCAGCCGAGCCTTGAGCCGCTGCACTCATCCATCCATCAGCCAGACGCTGTAAAGAACTGAGGCTGGGAACTCTGTCATGGCTCCTAAGTCTTTTCTAACACCTTCTCCTCACAGCCTTCACTCAGTCCCGTCTTTGTCTTTTTTGTTCATATTTCATTCCTGTTGCCATCTTTTGCAGCTGCATGGTGCTCCGGAAGGACGTCCGTGAGATGAAAGGTGATGGTCCTCCTAAAGCCGATGCGGTCCTGAAACCAGGTAACGTTTAAAGCAGCAGCTCTACGTGAACTGGTGCAGCGAGCATTCCCAGTCCCAGGCATCTGTGCGCTGGTCTGTCTTTTGACACACTTGGCAGGAAAAAAGTAAAATGCTCGGAGTGGGTTGTGGTGATGCAGACAGAAGAGAGCAAGGTTTTAAGTGTTTTGTTCCGGAAACGAGCGCTGCTGTCGCTCTGGAGTCTATCTTTATTTGAAGTCATCACCAGGCTTTTTACGTTCTGCCCTCATTTTTCTGCTGCAGAGCTTGAACTCTTTTGTAATTACTGCAAGAAAACAGATCTGCGTTATCTCAGGTGGTTGACGCAACAACTGTGATATTTTCGACTTTACAAAAGCGTGAAACGAGCATCTGGCAGGGTGGTTAGCTGCGAGTCAAACCCACCTGTGACACTGTGGCTGAATGCTCCTGCTGCTCTGCTTCACCGCAAACACTCCCCTGAGTCTCCTAACGGCATCCTAGATTTTATTTTGGTCTGTAATGTTTTAGTTTTACCATTTAAAGCACATTTTCAGCAGGAATATTATTGTTAAAGTTTTATTTTGTGTGCTTTTGAAAGCGCTTGATGCGGCCGTGGAGTTCCAGCAGAATCAGGTGGTGCCCAGCTCCTGGAAGACGGAGGTGAAAGAGGAAAGCTCCAGCAGCGAGGATGAAGATGAAGATGAGGAAGAGGAGCAGGAAGAAGATACAAGTCGGGAAGAGGAGGAGGTAGAGGCCACGCTTCTGCATCCACGTCCTGCATGTAAAAACGTTCCTTGGCTAATCTGTTGTTTCCTGCCTGCAGGAGGAGGTGGAGCCATTCCCGGAGGAGAGGGAGAACTTTCTCCAGCAGCTCTACAAGTTCATGGAGGACAGAGGTCCGTGCAACAACACCTAGCTAGTGTTTTCGCTAGTTACTGATAAGGGAGTGCCGCATGTTTAAAGGGACTTTACGGAGTTTTGAATCTTTATGCTCGCGATCGCCCCCTCGGGCCAAAAGCGTAACGGCAGCTTCAATAGTAGGCTCGTGCACGAGGCGCGCATGCTGTACGTGCACACTCCTTAACGAAAATAACAGCTGACACAGTCCCGTGTGTGTGTGTGTGTGTGTGTGTGTGTGTGTGTGTGTGTGTGTGTGTGTGTGTGTGTGTGTGTGTGTGTGTGTGTGTGTGTGTGTGTGTGTGTGTGTGTGTGTGTGTGTGTGTGTGTGTGTGTGGCCCGGACAAGAGGACAGGAGAACGAGCAGCTAATTAATGAAATAATGTGGTTCTGTACCTTTCTCTTCAGCACAGCCGACAAAGGTTTATGATGGGTCAGTCCTCCTGCATGCTCAGATCATTCCCTTCCCTTGCTTGAAAAATTGTTCCAAAATGAAAGTTGAACCCACATCTTTTTTATCTGTGAATTCAATGCCGTTCGGCGAGTCTCAAATAAAAATTTGGGCATCTTACTGTAAAAAAAATACCATTAATGTAAAAAAGAAACTCTAAATAAACTATGTTCACAACCAGAATCAAACCCAGGTCTTCTGCATGAGAGTCCGACGTCTTGCTAGGCGAGCTAAAGCACCAGTGACGTCATCTGTATCTGTAACATTTATATCCTTGATGACAGCTGAAACAACGTTCAAAGAACGGTTCGGAGTGAAAATGGCTATTTTGTTGCTAATTAGCAGGAAATATCTAGAAGAAAGTTCTACAGAAAGTAGCTAAGGGTCCTCAGAAATGTAGCTAGCTTTGTCACTAGGCGTTAGGAACAGCGACAAAGTGGCACTGCCTCTCTCTCTGCTGCTAAAGCTACGGATAGCAAATGCTACGGGCGATGCCTGAGCGTGAACGCGCATGAAGCAGCCTGCTCGACCCGAGCATCTCTCTTTTTCTGTGATTTTACAGAAAAACAGGCAATCACAGTAAAAATGCCAGGGCTCATTCTACAGGACCAGGGCATTGCAGGAGAACGTATGAAGAAGATATTTAATATTTCTATACATGTTTTGGCTGTCACACTTCCATAATGTCCCTTTAAACTCTCAATGTGTCAAATCTGTGATTACTCTCATTTTGTTGTGATGGTTTTAACCCTAACCCCCACCATACTCACTGATGTCATCAAGTTAACCTCTAGAGAACTGAGGAGGAGAAAAGGACGGGTTTCTGCTAGTATCTCTTTAAAGCCATACTTTGCAACTTTTTCCCATTTTTAAATCATTTTCTTGAGCCAGTATGTGCTAAAATGACCCTTTACAGGGTTAATGATTGTCCCCCGTGACCAGAATATTCCACTTGTAACTTCAGAGTGGTGGGCCACACTGGTGGGAAGAAATGGAGCCGACATAGCTGGTGCTGCAGTCTGCTTCCAGCATGTTTCCTATATGTTTTAGATCATGAACACAGCTGATGTGTTTAATTTCGTGATGAATCACTTCTGTAGACACTGAGGAAGACTGGAAGACGTTTCAGCTGTTAGAGTAAGAAGTTAGAAACACAAACGCAGAGCGAGGAGAAAAGTTTTGGTTTTGGTTCTACAAACGGACACTGGGGGTGCTAAAAGCAAGTCAAAACTTCCAGATGGAGCATTAGGATTAGTACCTTCATCATAAACCTGCCATGTCCATGTCCTGTGCTTGCCTACTGCCCTCTGGTGGAGGATCTTTATGTGGCTAGGCCCTATTTTATTTCTTTATTATTGTTTTATAACTACATAATAAAATAAAACTGATTAATTCTATCATTAAAAATAAATATTTGTTATTTTTACATCATTATTATTTATTATTTCAGGCTTTAAATGAATAATATTAAAGCAACTAAAACACCAGAACCAATATTAGAGCCTGTTTACAGCTTGAGGTCACATTAAGCCTTTACATAAAATCAGTTTGGTTAAGATGTTCAGGTCTGCGTTTGTTTGAATTTTTTATGCAGAATTGATATATATTTTTATTCATTGGTTACATTTAAAGGTTTGAAAAAGTCTGTTTAAAAATAAATTACTTTGTGTTCAGTAGAAAGGTTTGTATTTGTTTTTGTGCTGTTGTTTCAAAATAAAAGCATTATTAAACTTATGATCAGTGGTTTGTTGAAAAGTCAAGGTCATTCTACCTCCGTTGTCTCTCACTCGGATATTTGGGTTAAAATGAATTCCTGCTTCTGAAACACACCATCCTCCATGTTTCTGTCCTCCAGGAACGCCCATCAACAAGCGGCCCGTTCTCGGCTACAGGAACCTGAACTTGTTCAAACTCTACCGGCTGGTTCACAGATTGGGAGGCTTCGACAACGTGAGTGCTGCTTTACCTTTGGTCCGTTCTCACTTGATTAGTTTGAGATGAACTGATCTTTCCTGAGCAGATTGAAAGTGGCGCCGTTTGGAAGCAGGTCTACCAGGATCTGGGCATCCCCATACTCAACTCAGCCGCCGGCTACAATGTCAAATGCGCTTACCGCAAGTAAGTGCTGGTCCTTCCTCCATGAGTCCAAGATGCTGCTTTTCTTTGTCTCGTCTTGGCGAATCTTGTTAGAAATGTTGACGAAGTTCGTCTCCTTGCAGGTATTTGTATGGGTTTGAGGATTACTGCACCTCCACTGCCATCACGTTCAAGATGGACCTGCCTTTGAAGCAGGGAACCAAGGGGGAGGCGAAATGTGAGGGAGAGGGAGCAGGAACAGCTCCCCTCTGCTCCATCCCTGAAGAGCAACAAGCCCAGGAGGATGGAGATGTTTGCATCACACCTTCCGTTGTCTGCGAGGTGCTCTTTACTCATCACTCTGATTCACATCTGATTGGCGCAGCAGGTGTATTATAACCGTCTCTCCTCTGTAGGAAGAAAAACCTGAAAAAATGGAGCCTGAACTATCAAAAACAGAAGAAAGGGACGACGACGACCAAGAAGAAGATCTTTTGAAAGGAGACGCAGACGAGGGCTCGTCCACCTCGCGCCTCGGGAACGTTGACGTGAAACAGGAGGGAGAGGACGAGCAGGAGAACAAGGACACCTCCGGGTAGGTGGTGGCTCTGATGTCCACAGTGGTTAGATGAAACTCCTCCTAATGCAAACACAAACCTCGTGCATGACTAATGCATGAGAAAACTGTCTACAGCTAATAAATGTTACAGAAAGTTTCTTCAGGTAAAAATGACCCGAAGAATTCAATCCAATCTGACCCTAATGACACTAAAACCCACAATCCACCTGTACTTGCTAACCCGAGTGGAGATGTCTCCTCTCTAACTACGCTCTCACACACTCCCCTTTGTGCTGTCATCATTTTTCTTGGCTTGATCGCCATCAGCTGGCAGAGACGTCTCAGAGCAGCAGAGCCTGACTGCTACCCCTCACCTGTCACGCTGTGCCCCCCGTGTTTCTGCTCTGAGACGGTTTCACCGCGGTGAGCCTCCTCCTCCCACTGCACACAACGTCTGGATTCTCTGTCTACTTTTTCTTTTCTTGTTTGGACGGGGTCTTTTGTTCGGCTTTTATTAAATGTTCCATGTGTATGAATGTCGTCACTGAGGCATTAACCATTCAGCTGTGAAACAGAGCTTCATGTGCAGTTTTCCCTTAGAGGAGAAGTAGGAAACGTTGCTTCAAGGCAGTTTGATTTTGTTGTTTAGCTTCATTTCCCCTTTTTTGCTTCCTGTCCACATTTTTGTTGATCTGGACTTCCTGATCAGGTCTGAATGGAGTTTGTGGAGCTGTGGTGTAAAATGGGTAGAGATCGTAGTTTTGGACCGAGTGTCCCATTCTCTTGAAGCCACGGGCTCTTCTCATGAGATCATGCTGGTCACCATCCAGAATGGAAGCTGGACTTCCTTGTTCTGTGACAGACTGTGGTAGCGAGTGCAGATCTGCTCTGTTTTTGATACAACTCCACCTCGTTGATGTTTACAGGTGTGTGTGCGCGTGTGTGCACGTGTGTGTGTGTGTGTGTGTGTGTGTGCGCGTGTGTGTGTGTGTGTGTGTGTGTGTGTGTGTGTGTGTGTGTGTGAATATGATTGTTTATTTATTTTTTGGTCACTCAAATATTTCTGATCAGCAAATATATTTCTGTCTCAGACAAAGAAAACCCGAGTTAAGAACATTTAATAATTTAATAACAGCTTGAAAATGAATTGTGTTAATCGGCCACATTAGAGGGCTTTCCTGCATGAGCAGCCTGTTCAAGGTCAAAGGTCAGACATTCTTCAGGATGTTCTGCTAGAGAAAGTAATTCGTGATGCCATCAGTTACGGCAAGTGGTCCAGGTCCTGAAGTAACGGATCGCCACCACCACTGTTGCTATGGTGATGGGTTAGTTTGGAACTCAAGGTTCTGCTCGTCTCTCATCAGCCAACAGAATCTTGGCTGATGTCATCAGGATGTTTGACTGCAGAGGTTTTGGTCTTGGTGCCATTTTCCCCTCTTTGTTCCTTGCTTTTTGTTGAATCGTGACCTCTGACCTGCAGAAGGGGGCACCTTATGTTGCTTCTTGAGATCAAGTGTCCCACTTCCTGTTGTCAGACAGGTGAATTCTACAGATCTGGGTGTGGCTGGTGCTGAACCCAACGGGGTTAATGACCTTTTTCACCTGGAGCGGGCTGTTTGGATATTTGTTAATAAATGAAATAATTGCGTGTAAACACTATTGTGCATTAATTCAGGTTGTTTTTGTCTGAGATTAAAACTTGTTTTCTGATGTGATAAAAATCCAAAAACAGAACCATCTTGTGGGCGGGGCTACATTTTCACTGTTTCTCTGTTTAGTGAGCGGCCATAATTAAACTACTGGGGATGCTTTTATTAAATGTATCTTCACCTGAGCTCTGGAGGGTTTTTCTGATGTAATGTAACTAAAGTAGTTTCCAGATATTTTCTCTGACCGTTTGTTTGGTGGCGTTTCTCTGATGTGGGGTTTGTTTTGTTTGCAGGCTTTAGGAGGTTTCTTTCAGCTGACGTGTTTGGTTTCTGTTTCAGACGGGTTCTGAGCTTTGAGCCGCTTGTTTTTTCTCTTCAGATCAAATCCAAATACTTTCGCTCGGTGCTCCAGATCGCTGCGCTAGCTGCTACGTGGTTGCTGTGCTAACTCGCTCCTGTGGTCCCCTGCTCCTAAAAACTCTTACTGCTCTACCAGAACACCCCCACCCCACCCCACCTGCCTCCAGCTTTGACTCTCTCCCACTAGCTCCTCCTTGTGGCTGCTTTGTTTCCCCACCGTGTGCGTACATGTGTGAATGAGTGGATGGTGTGTGGATTTAGGGTTAGACCAACCTAAAGTAGAGTTATCTCCCATGATTGTAGAGTTTTGTTATGAAATGTTGTTTCATTTGCTAAAATACGTCATGTGCTTTGTTAACGATGCAGTTGTTTGTCTCCCAAGTGACACTGGACTAGAGTTAAGGCCAGATGAACGCAGGAAGTTCATGTTTGTAGGGCTGTAATGGGGCGGAGCAGGTGTCAGAACAGGGGCTTCTCTACAGCAGGCAGTGGAGTTGGGTGGGTGTGGGCGGGGCTTTGTGTTGTGCCGTGGAGCAGCTTAGGGCCAGGAAGTGCTGAACTGTTTTTCTTACAGGGATGACAGCAGTCAGGAGGGGGAGGAAGGGGAGGAGTTTGAGTGTTACCCCCCGGGGATGAAGGTGCAGGTGAGGTATGGGCGAGGCCGCAATCTGAAGACGTACGAGGCCACTGTGAAAGAGGCAGACGTGGAGGGGGGAGAGGTGCTCTACCTGGTGCACTACTGTGGCTGGAACGTCAGGTAAGACAGGACCTGGGGAGAAATCACCTAACTCCTGTATTCATCCTGAAAAAGGAAGAAAAAAACATTCCTAATTATTGATTAAGCTTAAGGGATCACCGCCTCCTGGTGTCCCTGCAGCTGTAACAAACGCATCCTGATCCAGTCCCATAGTCGCTACTCTGATTATGGAGAACACTGGGCCATCTAGTGGAGGAACAGAACCAATCTTCCTCACTCAATTCGACTTAATCGCCCTGTCTGTCTGTCCCCCAGAGGTCTGTCTTTCTACTAAACCTGCAGACAGGCTACGCTTTAACCAATCAGGGACTGGAAGTGATTTTATTCCTCTTGTTAATATTTCAAACCCCATAACGTGATCTGGAGCTTTTGGATCTTTGAATGGCCAAACAAAGTGCTGCTACACTCACCTCTACCTCTCAACCCTCTCCCCCCTCCCCAGCGGGTCAGGGTTAGTGCGGTGTTAAGAGGAGTGTTAGGGTACCATCACACAGAGGTCAACTTAGTGCAATCAGCATTTCATTGTCTCTTTGTTGTTGTGCGGTCCTCTAGCACTCTTTAAAGTCAGCGGGACGTTCTCTGCATCATTTCTGTTGTGTGTGTTGTTTCATCTCCGCTCACCCGACCCTCGTAGCTCCCTCGGTACCGTCGGAGCTCTGTTGGTTATACTTTTGTGTGGTGGCTGGTGTGTATATTGTTTCTTTTCTTCATTGTAAAGGTTTATCCTGCTTCCCCCCTCTCTCTCTCACACACACACACACACACACACCGGATTTCTGTTGAGGCTTCTTGTGTCACAGCAACGTTTTGGTTTCAGACGGGTCAGGTGTCTGTGTGGTGGCTGGTGTCAGAAAATGTCCTCAACTCCTTCCAATAACCCGAATGTTCAGATCTCTCTCGTCTCTGCTGCTGGGTTTTCATGTTTGTTTAGATATGACGAGTGGATCAAAGCTGACAGGATCGTTCGCCCCGCCAATAAGAACGTACCAAAAATAAAGCACCGCAAAAAGATAAAGGTACGGCCGTGCGGATGGGTCACTCGTTGCTTTTTTACCAGCATGAAACCAAACACTGACTGTGTCACAATCTGACAGAACAAAGCCGAGAGGGACCGGTTGGACAGACTCGGCGACAGAGACGTCCTCGGCCCGTCCTCTGACCGAGTCCCACGCTCCAAATGTGGCCTGAGTCAGGACGTCTTCTCAAAGACGGACCAGGGTGAGGACAAAAGGACTCAGCAGTCTCCAGTCAAGTCTATAGAAATTACTTCTATCCTCAATGGCCTGCAAGGTAGCAAATCTCCTAATCTTATTGGGTGCAAAATTACAGCAGATTAGGATTAGCTCACAATCTAGATTTATTATCACTCCTGATTTCTTGTGAGATCTAATGAAAGTTTTGTCTCCTTCGTCTCAGCCACCGATGGGACCACGGATGAGAGTGAGCACGAGGAAGAGGAGAGAGAGAATAATGAAGAGGACCAGCCGAGCGTCCACAGCGACATCAAAAAGGTCCCACTGGAGCCGCCCTCGATGGAGCCCTGGGAAGCCTTGGCAGAAAGGGCCAAGATGTCCTCGGTCTCAGCAAAGTGCCAGGATGTTGGTGCAGAAGCTACGGAGGTGTTGAAGCGCAGGGGGCCGGCAGACGTGGAGGGAGAGGTCAGCACCAGGAAGAGGAAGTCCGATTTTGCAGCTGAGAGGATCCCAAAAGCTCTGTCCAAAGCCAAGACCAGGATGACCAGGAGTGCAGACTGGTTACCAGGGGCTGCTCCCAGGAAGCTGGAGGAGAGGGGAGCTGCTCCTGAAGGGGAGAGGGGGGGTCCGTCCAGCAGCAGCTCAGATGATGAGAGTGCAACGCTGCCAGAGTCGCAGGTGGAGGAAAATGAGCGGAGCCGCCCAAAAACCAAAGGTTCCCCTTCTAAGAAGTACAACGGGATGAAGGAGAAATCTGGAAGGCAAGCTGGATTTTGGGAGATTCCTGAAAAGAGGGCCAAAGTGTCTGGGAACGCAGAGGAACGAGCTTCTGTTCGCCCTAAAGGACAAAAGGATGTGTGGTCCAGTATCCAGGCCCAGTGGCCCAAAAAGACTCTCAAAGAGTTGTTCTCTGACTCGGACACAGAAGCTGCCAACTCTCCACCCCCACCAGTGCCGCCATGTCTAGAGGAGCCAGATGATGAACAGGACGCTAGACCTGAGGACGAAGCTTCAGAGGAGCACACGGACAACGATAAGCTCCAGGAATTCCCAAGCAGTGGAAGTAACTCTGTGCTCAACACTCCACCGACAACGCCAGAGTCTCCGTCGGGAGGAGGCAGCGTGGTGGAGGACTCCGGTCCTACCCAGCCACCTTCCCCGCCTCCAGCCACGCCCCCCGCCTTGCCTGCAGAGCCGGTTTCTGACAGCCTGCCTCCGGGTCCCATTCAGGAGGAAGGCGGACGCAGCGAAACGGACAGCAGCACTGTGGAAGTGGAGAGTCTGGGTGGAGAGCTGCAGGAGCTCCCGCAGGACGAGGGGGCGGGTTCCCTCTCTAAGGTTTACGACGTCAGCCTGTCCTGCAACAGCAGCAGCAGCTGCAGCTTAGAGCTGAGCAGCAGCAGCCAACAGGACAGCGAGCAGAAGTCCAAAGGTACCAGCGCGTCCGTCATTCATTCCTTCAGCTTCTCGTTTCACCGTCTGACCATTTACTCGTTTTTCTTTCTAGCGTCTGCGAGTCAGAAGCGGCAGAAGGAATTACAGGCCGGCGGAGCCTCGAAGAAACACAAGCCAAACCGCAAGAGCCTCGGAGTGCCTCCCAAAAAGAATAGGAAAGCAGGTAGAACTCCAACCTCCTGAGGCTTTCTAAGACTCCCGGTTCCGTGTTGTCCCGTTTCCTGATGCCACGCTAACGTTGATGCTTTCTCCCCTCCAGCCAACAGCAGTGACAGTGAGGACCAGTCTGTGGTTGAGGGCGCCGCCAAGTCGGCCGCCTCTAAGAACAACGCATCAGATCTGAAGGCTGCCACGTCGCCTAAGTGTCATGGCCGATCTCCTCCCTCCAGCCATAAGTACCACAAGCACTGTGACACGGATCACAGCCACCACAGGGACAGTCATGGACGATCGCCACGCGTGTACAAGTGGAGTTTCCAGATGTGTACGTGGCTTTCTGTCTGTTTATATTTGTTGAGATCTTATTTCTAACCCACTTCCTCGTTTCCTCTCAGCTGATCTTGAGAAGATGAACAGTCTGGAGAGGATTTCATTTCTTCAGGAGAAACTGCAGGACATCAGGAATCACTACCTCTCCCTCAAGTCTGAGGTGGCCTCCATCGACAGGCGGCGAAAACGCATGAAGAAGAAGGAGCGTGAAAGTGAGTCCGCTCCTCGCCTCCTTTAGCTCGATCACCAGGATGTGGACGTTTTCCTCTAACGTGAAACTTTTCTTATGACTAACACCAACCCTTGTTCCCGTTCTACAGGCACAGTGGCAGCCTCGTCCTCCTCCTCGTCCTCGTCTCCGTCCTCGAGCTCGCTAACAGCAGCAGTCATGCTGACGCTCGCCAACCCCCCGGTATCGTCCTCATCCTCCTCGTCTCAGAACTCCGGGGTGTCCGTAGAGTGCAGGTGACACGACGGCGCCGTGCGGAGCAACCGCACCGAGCACTTAACCGGCGCCCTGAGGTCTGCGGGTCACCGGCTTCATTCCCTTTCAGCTGGACGGACAGACGAGCCCGCCCACATACTGTAACTGCTGGGGCACAAAAGCCAGACGAGAGACTGTAACACCAAATCAAGCACTATTTTCTACTGACAACTGTTTCCTTGGCAAGCTATCGGCACTAAAGTGCACTTTTACAAAGGGTGTGAAGTTTGTCACAAAACAAAGACAAAATTCTCCAGATTTTTATTTTTTTTTTTGCTCTTCTTAATCGAACATTTCCAAGCGTCGTTTTTGCGAGCAATAACCATTTCCGATTGATGAAGTCGTACCGGTAAGGACCCCCTTCTGTTTACCTGTTCTCCAGCTCAGCGTGGCTCAGTCTTGCCGTGTTACCGTGGGAATGTCCGAGGAGCGCCGCCTCGATGGCATCAAGGGCGTAGACGACCTTTGCTACGTTTCTGTCATTAAAGAAGCCTTCATGCGGTCAAAGCCGAAGTGCTCGCTCTTCACGGGCGTGTAGTCCCGTAAAGGTCGTAGGTGGGGTTTCGGACCGTCTGGTCCTCCAGTAACCTCAGCGGATGAACATGGAATGATACTGTAGTGCCTTTTGTTCTTCTCTGCGGGGGCACTTTGAGAAGGGACAGCACTTTTACCCGTTTCTGATCCTGCTCTCAGCTCAAAGGGCCGTCTGGAATAATGTGTCCCCTGAAGAATGCTGTAGGAGGAGCGAGCAGCGAAGGGCTATGTCTGACAGGAAGCCACAGATTATGGTATTATTTAAAAACAACTCTAATGGATCACCTGTAATCTACTACTGAATACTCACCCGGCCTCTGTGTTACTGCCAGTTTCGGCAGAATCAAATGTGCAATGATGAAAGCTGAGGTTCATCTGCCTTTTCTGTTTTTTTTAGAAAAACTTTTTTGTTCTGGTTTTAACCCCCGCCCCCCCCCACGTCCAGTCATCTTCACTGAAGGTGTGATGTCTGTAGCTGGATCAACACGAGTTGACTCTGTAGAAGCAGAATCCCACATTTGCAGTGTTCCAAAAACTCGAGTTTTATATTATTTATATTTTTGCTGCATTAAAAAAAGAAGAGCCACAAACGCGTTGGAGGTGACGTTTCCTGAGTTTACTCATGATCTCAACGAAAACGCCCGCTTCTCACACTCATCCCCGTCTTACCCGTGCTATGACGAGAATAAAGGTAGAGCTATTGTAAATGTGCATTTATATCATAAAATAGCATACGTGTAAACATTTCTAAAGGTGTTTTTCCTTGTATAGACCCCACTACTGTATAAAAACCCAAAGTTACATTTTGTTCAGCACATGTATGTAATTGTATGCTTTTGTTATACATTTGTATATTGAGAAGTGTTTTGAGTCGAGCTATTTAATATCTTGCACTGTTAATAACGTGTACTTTTCTGTACAGACAGTTTTAACTAGTTTCATGTGGAAAACCTGAGGGTTACAGCGTTTTTTCTCAGTTCCTTTATGTTGTCTTCTACCCTGGCCCATAGTTTTCCTTTGCCCCGCCCCCTTTAAATTCCTGTTGGCTTTAGATTATTTTACTTTTTGTTTTTCTGTAGTTTTTGCTTGTTGGAGTCGAATGGTGGTGCTGGATGCGTACGGTTTTCCGACATGGAAAACCGTACGCATCATAGATAAAGTAAGGAGCTTATTGGAAAAATGCTCAATAGTATTTATTAGGCTGATCTGATGATGGTCATTGTGTAATTTATTGTAAAAATGTAAGCAAAGCAGAAGCCTCTGTTTGAAATAAATGCCATAGTTTGTGAACCACTCGTCTCTTCTTTTAGTTAATTCTGACAGTTTTTACGTTTTTAGAAATTAAAGGTCAGACTGTCCTTCAACTGAAGGTCAATTACAACTTTTGGGCGGATGGGCTAGTTTTACAGCATGAATGTTAACTGTGCTGGTGCCTATCTCCAGCGGTCAACGGGCAATCAGGCGGGGTACACCCTGGACAGAGAGCCAGTCCATCGCAGGGCAACACAGAGACACACACTCACACCTAAGGACAATTTAGACAGACCAATCAACCTAACAGTCATGCTTTTGGACTGTGGGAGGAAGCCGGACCGGAGAGAACCCACGCATGCACAGGGAGAACATGCAAACTCCATGCAGAAAGATCCCAGGCTGGGAATCGAACCCAGGACCTTCTTGCTACAAGGCAACAGCTCTAACCACTGCGCAGCCCTACAGCAGAAGTAATGAAAGAAAAGGAGAATCAGGTTGTAATTTCAATTTATTTTCATTAATTTCAAATTAATTTATTACTAATTTAATTAATTTAATATTAATTTCAATTTAATAAACAGTCAAACAACTTTTCCAGGAAAAGGAGATTTTACAGCATGTCAGATTTCGAATGCTGCATCTGAGGAAGGTGTAGCTTTTCAGAACTGGAACAATAGCCCAGAAAAATATAGCCTAGCGAACTAGACCAAATTCTTGCTTTGCAAAGTTTGGTCTATATTCAGTTATATAAATGAGAATATTTAGTCTGGCTTGCCAGGTTGAAAGACGCAGCGACAGAAAATGATCACACACCATTTTAAAAAATGTGTTTGATGTATTGGAAAAAGTTTCACTAAATTCTTAAATCCCGCCACGTGTGAAACAACGTATTTATTCAATAACTCGTGTAAAATCCCAAAAGCTCTCTCTGTTGAATTACGTGGCAATGATCCAGCATTATTTATATTGAAACTAATAAAAATTGGGCTTCCCGCCAGTCACTTAGTCGTAGTTTTTTTTCTAGTTCGCTAAACGACAGCTAGCAAAATTCTAATCTAAGTACAAAAAATGTGACGAATTAATAAAGTGAAATGGTATTTGAACTGTTACTTATGATAAACCATGGACGAACCCCATTTTAAAGGAAGTGATCTCATTCCGTCGGTATTACGTGGTGCGTCACGAAGCACGTCACGTGCTTCTTTCCGGTCGTTTTTTTAGCAGCGTGTTAGCCGCTTGTCGTACCGTTCCATGGTTATTAATAATAAATATGATGAGCGGTAGAACAAGTGCGATATTTGCGGGGGTTTGTGGAGCCCTTTTCGTAGCATACTGCGTTTATTTTGACAGGAAGCGGCGGAGTGACCCAAACTTCAAACAAAAGCTACGTCAACGTAAGTTACCGTTAGCATCGTTAGCATGCAGCTCACACGGGCAGAATGTTAGAAAAGTTTTGATAAGAGCGGCATTTTACTGATGATCCTGCTTATTTCCAGATATGAAAAACTCAGAAACTCTCTGGACTAAGTTAGAAGCTCTACCTTTTACAACGTGATAGAAATGATGCGTGTAGGCTTGGATCCACGTGCCGCTTTAACCCCAGGCGCGACTGCTAACGTGTGTGCTTCTTCACAGGAAGAAAACAAAACGTAACTGGTGACCAGGCTGGATTTGCAAAGGTAAGGATTGAGGGAGAGTCGTATCACCTGTCTTATAGCTTTGTGTATATAAGGTAGAAAATGGTTTCCAGGATTTCTTCATTCACTCAAATCTGGATAAAGTAGGAAAAATGCGATTAAAATGTGGAATTTTTTTTCAATATTTAATTTTATTTAGCAAATCAAAGTTTTAAAAACAGCCGGCGTAAACTAATGTGCTTTAATTTAGCTGTAATGATCAGTAACACTAAAAAGAACAACCTTCAACAATTATTTGGCAAAAATAATGACTACGTTTATTTGTGAATCAGCTGATTCAGTAAATGGTTGTATAGTGGATATTTTAATTGGGATGAAAATTATATTAAATTATTCAAACGTGATATTTAAACAAACTATTTTAAGGCAGAAAATTGTTTAATGTGCTTTCTCGCATTTATTTTGAAGCTGCCTGACATGAAGGATGCAGAAGCTGTTCAGAAATTCTTTCTGGAAGAAATTCAGCTGGGAGAGGAGCTTCTGGCGCAAGGTCAACAGCCTTAACACTCTAAAATTCTCCAAAGGCCACGAGTTTGGTTTTTAAAATGTTTCACGGTCATCTGTTACTAACCTGCACGGTTTAAATTCAGATTTGGACATAAAGTTGTGGTGTCTTCTTACTTTTTCTGCTCCTGTCTCTGACCCAGGTGATTTTGAGAACGGTGTCGATCACCTGACCAATGCGATAGCGGTGTGCGGGCAGCCTCAGCAGCTGCTCCAGGTGCTCCAGCAGACATTGCCTCCTCCGGTTTTCCAGATGTTGCTCACCAAACTGCCCACAATCAGCCAGGTAAGGATTTTACCTGCAACTGCATTCATCACTATTTATCTATGTCCGTTTGTCTTTTATTTATTTTTCTTTGCAGCAGAGCATTCTTAGTAAACCCCCTAGTTGCTTTCTGTAGCTTCTGGGACAAGAAAGGATGCAAGAGAAATCTTAGAAACATCCAAAGCTGGGAGCTTTGTGGCCGTAGCTCTCGGTTATTTCACCTCTAAGACAGAGATGATAATATTTTGGTATTTGGGATTGCAATGTAGTTTTTTTGTTTTCTTTGCAGCGAATTCTCTCCTCACAGACTTTATCAGAAGATGATGTTGAATAACTGTGGAGAAGTTCAAGATGGACTCCTATTTTTGCACTGTTGGGTACTGATGACCTTGTCACGACTCATCTGCCCGATTATGACTCCACCTGTGGCATTCTGGGGTTAAAGGACTTCCTGTTTATCCTGTGCGCTTTCTAGTGTTTTATTGTATATATTTTCCTCAATGGTTCTATTGTATTTGTTGGGGTGTGAGTTGATGTGTAATATATTTAAATATTGTTAATGAAAAATAAGTCATTTCCATTTTACACATGAGCTGTTCAGACACAGCAACATATCAGTTAGGAGATTTTCATTTCCTGTTTTGGTGTAAAGTCCCATAATAAAAGCTTAAATCACGAGTTTGGCTCTACTCGAACCAGCAGATGGCGGCAGTGGTACACAGAAAAATCTGAAGCTTCTGTGGTTTTCTGTCTGGAATCTTGCAGAAATTATTTGCAGCATGAGATCGATTTTATTTCTGAGAAACTTAATTGGTAAAAAACCAGATGAATGTGCAGAAGGATGCGTCGAGCTCCTCCCAGCCTACATCTGTGAGTCCACTGACCCTGTTGCATTTGGGGTGAATGGCTTTATTGTTTATGTTTATTTAGCAGACGCTTTTATCCAAAGCCACTTAGTTTATAACCTATAGGGCGTGTTGTGATCTGTGGGGGAAACCGGAGTACCCGGAGGAAACCCACGCTTGCATGGGGAGAACACGCAACTCCACGCAGAAAGGCGAGTTTTGAACCTTCGTGCTGCGAGGCAACCGTGCTAACATGAGTAAAAAGTGGAGCAACGAGTCTAGGGAAGGGAGTTGGTCTGGTTGGAAGCGTGTCTCTTGGAAGACAAATAGAGCCGTAATTATCCCCCCTCCCTCCGGCCTGCAGCTGTTGTTCCAGAGCGGCCGGGTCGAGGCTGCCAGGAAACGAGAGGAGAGGAAAATAGTTTTTCTACCTAAGGAATGAAAAATGAACAGTGGCCCAGAAATGTCAAGTGGAGACTAAACGGTGGACACGGTTTCCATTTTCCATGAACTCGAGCTTTAGTGAGCTGCTTTCTAGTGAAACTGGAGAAGCCTGTCGGGAGGCCCCGAGTTGTGTGTGGAGGGAGAGAGGAGAAGCGTAGCTGCTGGAGGTCACGGTGGAGTTGTGCTCTGTCTGGGCGTAGGAATGGGTCGGCTCCTTCCATAAATAAACACCCTGGTTCTGTTCTGCGTCTCCTGCAGACAGGAAGGAGCTGAGGGAAACCAGACCCGTAAAAACATCGCTTCGCCATGACACAGCAGAATCTGATGTTTTTGTTCAAAACTTCAATAACATTTTTGCTCCTTTGACTGCATTCTTGCTCTATTTCAGTCTGAATGATTATGAGTCAGCTCTTCTGCTGAAGAGGGCATGGAAACAACCACCCCCTCTGCCTCCTGGTCTGCCTGTAGGGGGCACTGTTGCTTCAGGCAGACCCTCCCAGACCTCTAAACTGAGCAGAGAAAGCTGAGAGCTTTAACATTTCCAGTTGACAGCAACAGCGGTTAAAACTACAGAACGGAGCCCGCGTGCTCGGGAGGAGTTGTTTTTAACAGTTTACTCCTTTTTCTCTCTCTCTTTTGCACATAATAGACATTCCAACCTGTTATTTCATTAACTGAGCCTGAAAATAACCTGCATTAATAAAAAACACAGATGTCAGAGCCGAGGCTCAGAAAAGCAGCCAGAGGCAATCCAGCCCTACTGGTGGTGACGGTAATCTGTTTGCGCCCATTCTGATTGCATGTCAAGTGCTGTATTGGGAATATTGTAATTACTATAATAATTTGAGCTGCACAACTCATTACTGGAAATTCTGTCAACAAATTATCCACAACACTTGTGACCTTTGCCGTGTTGTTTCGTAGTCTGAGGCTGAATGTCAGATCTTGATTAGGGCTTCTGTGTGCTGGCCGGTGGGGATGGCTGCCTGTGTTGGAGCAGCTGCTCAAAGCAGCCAGGAATAACTCAGTTGTATGTGGTTGCTACGGCAGCTTCGTGTGGCTGTAAGAAGCAGCAATGTCTGCAGCCATGCTCTATATTTAACCGTTACCTCTCAATAGGTTGGTGTTTTATTTTTGTCGCTGGCGGATCTTTGGGTGGAGGTGTCCACGGAGGCCGAGAATCTCCGTTTTTGTCCGAGCCGGCAGCTAAAAGCCCGGCGGTGATGGTTTTGGTCATGTGACTGAACTGCTAGATTTTAATGAATAGGAGGAGAAATCCGGATGTTCAGCCAATGAGGTTTTGGAGTCACCTGATCCAAGATGGCCACCACAGCTGATTGAATTTAGTTCATTTTCGCCCATTTACCGCCAGGGGTGCAGCTCCAGCAGAGGAGCTTAAATTGTTACCCGGAGCTGGAGACTATCAGTGAGCATGAAAACAAAGATCGACGGGTAAACTGAGATTAGCCATAACAAAACTTGTAAAATCTTTCAAAGATATGGGATTAAAATTTCATCAAACATGGAAACTTTAACCATTTGCCATTGGAGGAGACCCAATTCAAGATGTCCGCCACTTCTTATCAACCTTTAGAAAATGCAAAATGGTTCGAACTTGGCTCACTTTACAGATATGATGTACTTTCACATGAAGACGAGACAAACAGATTTCAAAGTGAACGAATGAATAACGTATAAAATTCAGGCAAAAAATGGTGCAAATCACACAAAAAATGTTTGTGTTACGATTGTTTTCGCTCCACATTCCTTCTTTGCTGTTTTAACTTTGGACCAATTTGAGTTGTCGGAAAATCTTTGCTGGGTAACACACAAGAGGCAAATTTATGAATGAAAAATGAAAGTTGAGTCACAAAACCATGCTGACACGCTTTTCTGCGCATTTTTCAGTGGTCGCACGGAAATTCAGGACCTTTTCTTGTGAGTGTGTAGACTACACCACTGGTTACGGCGCGTCATTTCTGCCAAGTCTTTCGACATCTCATCAGATCAAAGTTAGAGCGCCGATTTTTGTCTCAACTGGCGAAGATCTTGGTTCACATGTAAATTCCTTTAAGGAGTTTTCCGTACCATGTGATGGATGCCACTGCGGGTACCAGAGTCTGCATCCCACCGTACGTTGCCATGGGGAGGACAGGCTGAGGAGAGATATCAGACACGTCCAGGCTCTCATAAAGACGGCTGCTTCCCGCTACACGGCAGCAACGCTGCATTTTAATTACCTGCTTTCTGTGTCATTCACCAGTGGAGGGAAAGAAACATTTCCAAGGCAAGTCCTAAAAATAAAGCAGCGCTGTACGTGCTCAGAGTATTAACTTTCACACAGATGACCCATTTTCCATCTCAAAGGGTCTGAGGATGGAGGGAAAAGAAGGGAGGGGGGGGGGGGTAGTGTTTCCAATCACATGATCTTAAAGCAGGCAACAAATCCTTGTGGATTTCATTTCCTCTGTAGGGTAATGCCTCGCTGTCATCTGTTTTTCCATTCCTCCCCCTTCCTGCTGCCGCCCTTCCTCCATGCTGTTTTTTTTCCTCAATCCCCTCAGTGGTGAACTCTGTTGTTTACATTCCCCGTGAGTGTGAGCTGAAGAACGTGGACAACCCCCCACCCTAGCAACCAAACCAACCTGACTGCCTCTAACAGTGTCAACCCGCCACCGCCCACCCGTCCACCATGATTACAGTGAAATTCAACACTCCGCCACGGAGGAGTGAAGTCCTGTTTTCATGTTTTGGTCGGGTAGCGTCTCACATCTGCAGCGACGACGAGGGCGGTGGTGTCAGCGGGGCTCATTGTGTCATCTGTTGTCAGCGTTATCTGTGCAATCTATGCGAGGAGTGAAACAAGAGAAGCGGAGTGACACACACACACGGAACAGGGGGGTGAAGAAAGGGTTAACCACGCAGACTGAGTGCATACTTCTTCTTCTCCTCCCTGCTGTCTCTGATCTGCCTTCCCGTCTCACCACCAGTGCAGTGCAGGGGCTTTGAACATCACGAGGGAGTCAGACAGGCTTGTTTTGCATACTGTAGGTTTCCTGCATTGACTTGTAGCAAATCCTTGCCCCCAGGAGGTGCGTCAGAGGGGATTAATGGGAGGGATGGGGCCTCACAGAGTTTCCCATTGTCGCAGCCCAACCCTGCACAGTTTTCATCCTGCAGAGTGAGAAAAAGAGCGAAGCAGGTGGGGTGGAAGTGGAGGAGGTGTGTGTGTCTGGGGGGGAGTCAGCTCATGTGTGTGTGTGTGTGTGGGGGGGGGGGGGGGGTCATACAGTGGTGTTATTTCCCTCTGCCCTGATTCTTTGGCGCTGAGCTAAGGGGAGGGGTTGAGTGTAAATAATGTATTTGGAGCGACGGGTAGAAGGAGATGAAGCATGATGGGAGGGGTGGAGCGGCCATGCTGTTGCACAGGAAACTGGGGGCTGGAGGTGCCAGGAGGGGGTGGGTGGTGGTGGAGGAGGATTTGTACAAGCTACAAATGCTGTTGTGGTGCTCAGGGGAATGTGGGGCCTCCTCAAGAATGTGGCAATCCTCCATTTCCTTCATGCTCCTTCAGTTTTAGCAGCACACTAGCTGGCTGTTGCGCTGTAATTAGTGATATAATATTCACAAAAAATGTGTTCCTAACGTTGTTTTTTCACAAGAAGCCTGGATTTGAAGAGATTGGAAGGTTGGAAACTGGAAACCAGTCCTAACTAGAATACTGTTTCCCAGATTTATGATGAGCTGCATTTTAAAGGTGTAGTTCACTGAAAAACCTTTTTTTTATGATTATTTCTGATTATAATCAGCCACTCTTGAGTTTTTCATGCAGGAAAACATGAAAATAGTCTCCTACACTTATGTCCTGCATTAGCTTCTGATTGAAAATAGACGGTGAAACTCTAGGATTAGAAAATCCTGACAGACACTGTCACGTAACAT